GATGATATTGACCATAGAATAATAGTATTGTTTTGATGATGATATTGACTGTAGAATAATGGTATTGTTTTGATGATGATATTGACCATAGAATAATGGTATTGTTTTGATGATGATATTGACTGTAGAATAATAGTATTGTTTTGATGATGATATTGACCATAGAATAATGGTATTGTTTTGATGATGATATTGACCGTAGAATAATGGTATTGTTTTGATGATGATATTGACCGTAGAATAATGGTATTGTTTTGATGATGATGATATTGACCGTAGAATAATGGTATTGTTTTGATGATGATATTGACCATAAAATAATAGTATTGTTTTGATGATTACATTGACCATAGAACAATAGTATTGTTTTAGCTTAACTAAAAGTTTAAAGATAACAAAACTATACTGTTTTGAAATTATGTACTACTGGTGTCTAAGTATAATATTATTTTGATCGTAGACACAACTCTATTATTTTCATAAGCACATTTGATAATGATAGAGCAAACATTGTAAAGAATGATCTTTCTGTGATGTTTTACCATTTTAGCCATTCTAATTGGTTCAAACATTGTATTCTTATTAGATCCAGAGCATGTTAGGGGACTCGGAAACAAAGCATATTTTGAGCAAGAATTAGCTAAGTATAACAGACAAAGAGGTGATGATGCAGACGTACCCGGAGAAGAAGAAAAAGAATTTCTAGAAAGTCACAAACCCCTAAATGATTACCTACCAGAAAGAGAAGCATATGAAGCATTGTGTCGAGGAGAGCAAGTCAAAATGGTATGTTGGCTGCCAGTGTCAACTTTTGTCACCATGAACACACATTTCAAACCTATATAATTTTTTTCACAATTTTTCAAAAGCAAGTAGGTAATTATGTCGATTTGATCGAAAATCATCAATTTACAAAATAAAAGTCTAATCAGAGGTACATTACTTGGGGTTTGCAACGCACATTGTTACTGTATGGTGACATCATGCCAAGATCCCATTCAAGTCTCATCTCGTAGATAGCGAGACTGATGCTACTACCTTCTGACATGACATAGGCGGTTTGTAATAAAACAATAAAACATGTATTACCACATTCATAGTGAAAAAATGTAATACATTGAAAATGTACAGAAAATATAGTTATCGTAATCTGTCATATCGTGAGCAGCTATTTTGACCCATCTGGACATCCCAGTATCCTAATTACCTCGGGCATGCGCATTTTTCTAAGTTGGAACGCTATTGCGAGAGCGTGATTGTAACTGGATCTTAGTATCATGTCACCGTAGTTGCAAACCCCAAGTAATGTACCTCTGGTCTGATATATCATGAAAAATGGTCAAAACTGGAATTGTTACTGGTTTCTATGGTGAGGTTATTTCTTCATATCTCAAAATTTTGTTTGACATGAGGTGAAAAAGTCATATATTGTAACCAACATGAATGCATTGTATATAGGTGCAGTAACATGCTCAGTAGTGCAAAATAAGTTTTCTCCCATAATGCATTGTATATATGTGCAGTAACATGCTCTGTAGTGCAAAATAAGTTGTCTCCCATAATGCATTGCATATATGTGCAGTAACATGCTCAGTAGTGCAAAATATGAAGTTGTCTCCCATAATTCATTGTGCATATATGTGCAGTAACATGCTCAGTAGTGCAAACTATGAAGTTGTCTCCCATAATTCATTGCATATATGTGCAGTAACATGCTCAGTAGTGCAAAATTTGAATTTAGCCTTAGTAACTCTTTTCTATTTTCCAATACGTAACAATGTATATCAGTTTCCACACTTGCATGTATTTTGTATTTTACAGTCACCACAAAGGCAAAAAAAACTGAAATGTAGACTGCGAGATTATAATCGCCCGTTTTTAATACTGCAACCAGCGAAGGAAGAAGTTGTGTTTGATAAACCTAAGCTCATAATCTTTCATGATGCTATACTCACCAATGAAATCAGAAAAGTCAAAGCATTAGCTTCACCTCGGGTAAGTCAAACTCATGAATATTCATTAATTAATTATTCATTAATTGTTCTGAGCATGCTCAGGTTGGCTGTCATAATCTATAAAGTTTAAATTGATGCTAGGGTCATGTGATTGAAAGCTTTTGTCTGTTTGTCTCAACAAATTTTTTTATTCAAATTACTGTTCATGGTAATATTGTGTAATAATAAGTCAGTATGGTGCATGGTTTAGGTATACAGACATAGTCTGTTCAAGATTAAATAGTAGATAATGTGGGGAAATATAAATCTTTGCGATTTTGGAAAAATTTATGAATATTTTATGACTCAAAGAAGCCGATGAATATTCATGTGAATGTTCAGGCTCTTTCAACATATAGCAGTGGTGTCTCATTTGCATATCTAACAAAAAATAATTGTACTCGCCAAGAAATTACAAGTTCATCGGGGTCCTGAATGTATTATTCCAAATTTCATGGTGTGTTGTGTATTGAATTTTATTCTGGAGATTTTTATTTAGAAAGACATCGTTCAAATTTAAAACATGATTCACCACTGCATTGTATTACTTTAACATGTTCATGGTAATGTACAGGACCAGTTTACGAATCATAACAAGTTCAGACAAAAGCTTTCTATCACGTTTGTTTCTCGCTTTGCTGCATATACTTATTATTCCATTCGTTGTTATGTGATAATGTTCATGCCGATGGATTCTCTCCAGCTAGTGCTTTTCTCAACACAAGGTTGCCTGTCACTACGTCCCGAACGGTGTTTGTCATCAACTGCTACCTGTTGTGACCTCCTGTGACTTCCCGGCCCCTGTGACAATTGCTTTCCGAATATCTCACTCTTGTTGGCTGTGTTTGCTTTTGTTATCCTGTTTTTTGTTTTGTTTTAATTGTTGTATTGGCTCATAAAATTTCTTCTATGATTGGCATATTTGTGACAAATAAATAACAAAGCAAGAATTTCTATCCTGGCCGCTGCTTCTGCTCTATCTTATAAGCTCAGTTCCTATCAATTTCAGGAGTGAACAAAAAACATATCTACGTATTTTGTTAATCAAGGTGACCTTGTTAAGGATGAGCACTCCCTCCATATGTCCATTTTCAACAATTTCAGCTAAAATATTAATTTTATGGATGCGGTGCATGGTCGTGGGTAGCAAGTTTTCGTAAGCATTCTTACAAAAGCAGATTTTTGTGTTCTGTATGGGTTAGAGTTTAAGTATAACCGATAACTTCTATAATTGGTAATGTTTTTGGATGAGAAGTTACACCCATTTTGGCTGCAGTTACGGGTGTTTTAAACTCTAAAACGATGTGTACATTTATCAGAGCCACATTGTTGTCTGTTTGTTTTCTTGTTGCTGTTGTCTGTTTGTTTTTTGTCCAGTCTCCGGCCAGCTGATTTCACCATTTTGGACTACCGTACCTCACAATCATATGACCCAAAACTCACCCCCAATAATTGGCCATTCGTTTGTGTCTCTGTGTTTTATCTGTGTTTGCTGTTAATATTTATATTATAATTTATTTTTTTAACTGATAACATATAAAATAATTTCCTAACAAATTAACATTTACTAATCGGTAAATGATCTTATCAAAGTTATATTTTTATCAGTGCAGTAAGGAATGTGAATTTACACTTTTTGACTAAATTTTGATTTCTATTATTACGTAATAAAAATGTCAAATATTATTTATGGGTTTTTAGGTGATATTTTGTACTTAACTAATAATATTTATTTAAAGGAATAATAATAATTAATTTGGATTTTTTTTTCTTTCGATATTAATAATTAATTTTAATGTATAATTAAATAAATTGTTTCTCACCATAAATTATAACAAAACAGTACTTTCTTGTTGGGAGAGGATTCTTTTTTTTTTTTGTCGTAGAAAAGCACCTGGACAGTTTCAAGATGATGCACTTGATAGTTTTAATGATGATATCTGCTTTTATAAATTTTAATGATAGCAATATGCGCTGTATAGTTCATGGAATGTGAAGAACATTGTAATTTCGAAATTTAGGGAAACAAATATTTTTAAAATCATTTTTGAAATAAAGTCGTGTTTTGTATGTTTTAATTTCAAACTGACCAGACTTGATTTTCAAAATTTGACTGAAAACGTTATTATATTTTCACTGACTGAACACGAATTTCAAAATTTTCTTTGACTCTCAATTTATTAGGATAGTAAAAATGTATTTTTAAATCTAAAACAGGTAATTGTGAACTTGTAAAATTTGGCATATTGTAACTGCCACTTCGTCCTATTTAGAATACAGGTGAAATATTCACTGCTACAAAATTGTCTCTGATCTTTGCAATTTTATAAAAAAATGTGTCTTGCAATATTAACAATGTTTATCATATTTTGGACATAATCGGTAATAGTGTTAGGTTCTTCACTTTCCAAGGCTATTTGAACCACTTTTTTGCCTTCACTGTATGAATACATTATAACAAACATTCCTGTAATGACTATGAATATGGTAATTGCTTTGCTTTTGACAGTGTTTGATCATGTACCCATAATGCATTGCTTTGATCTGCCTTTCAAACTACAAATGTATGTGTGTACCCTGTATTATATTCTTTAATAATATGCATTTGCCGCTGTGTCTGTGGTTTGTTTTCTCAACCCGCAGCCATGGCATTTCTTGCAACTGTTTCACACTATTTACTTCACAGGTGTTGTCATATTATTGATGCATTTTTTATTCCAATCACCTTTATTAATTGCATGATCTTTTTAGATAAAATATCTCTTTTTTTCATCATTTTCACTTGAATTCTTAGTCTTCAACCATCATTGCTGATTATTTCTTTATTTGCTATCCAACTTTTTGAATGGCATAAAATGGCAAAATGTTAGTGCAAATACTAATTTTTTCACTAATGTTGAACCACAGGTTTTTTGATCAAAAAATTCAAATCCTGATCAACCTTTTTATTTACAATCATGATTTAAACAAAGGGTGAAAGCCGCCGTGCCATTTATGTTAATCAAAATCGATCTGTATTTGGTAAAAAGTTGGGAAAATATAATGGAAATTAAAGTTTTCTAAAAATTCATCCAAAAATGGTGATAAGAGGCCAGTATTTTTGTGCACATTTCTTTGCACATTTGATGCTTTATCTGTTTTTCCCTTGGGTATTAATTTCTTCCCAGAATTCACTCTCTCGCAATCTGGGTCATTAATATAATTTAATTGTTTGATGCATTTTGGGGACATTCATATATATCATCATAAAAAGACCCTGAAATTGGTCAAAATGCCCCGGAAATGTGTAATTTTCACTTTGGTATCGCAACCTGCTTTTCAATTTAGAACACGTTTATGTACCAAATGTTCTAATTCCAAATTTGTAATGGTTTCAAAAGTTCAGATGAATTCTGGGAGTGAGATTTTTTTTTGCCCATTCCCTGTGTAGATCATTTCCTATTCCCCAATTTATCTGCATAGTGGTATGACCCAACAGGAAGAGACACCAGGATTATACCATTATACAGAGAAATATAGGGATGATCTGTGTTTTTGCTGTGGTTGGTGTATTCTCTTTCAGATGTTGTAAATGGAAAAGTCTATAAGAACATGGCAAGATTTAATAATAGGGAAATATTATAGGGCTGTGATTTTCCCAAATTTATTTAAAAATTTTTACCCCGGAATAAACCAGAATGACCTTTTTGGTTCCAAAGTGTAGGGTAAAAGACTTTTTATGCAAATTATGCAAAAAGTGATGTGGACGAGATTGAATTATTAATTAGTTACAATCCTTACATCTGAGGCTCGTAATTCAAAAAAATGCTTTGGGTACCTAAGTGTATTTTTCTGACTTCAAATAACCGGTCACAGGAAATTTCTTGTCAAAATCATGTGTGCTTCTTCCATTCATAAGTGACAGGATTTCATAATAGTCAGGGCCATTGTTAAGAGCAAGTCTAACTGAGTCCCAACTAAATGTCATGGGCGGATTTAGAGAGGGGCCGCGGCCTTCCTATTTTTAACAACCAACAGGGCTTTGCGTCATCGGCACTCGTGAACTTGGCCTTCGGCCAACTTATCCCCCCCCCCCCATTTCCAGAATCCTAGATCCGCCCCTGAAAGTCATAACACAACTAAACTGAAAAAGCAAATGAACATATGAGATTGATTAATCCCAAGAACCAGGGTTCATCAACAATGATTGCAGAGTGTGCACAGATGGAAAGCTCCCCTCCCTTGTGGGTCAGCTTAAAAGCTAGAGCTTGCAATTCACTGCATTTTCTGCCTGATGTAAAAGAAGCTAAAAACAAAGTGGACAAGTGATGCTGCATAGTGCTGCTCATAGAGGACACGGTTAAGAGACCCTGACAAGAATGACAGACCAGAATTGTGTGACTAGTCCTGGTAGAGCTTATTGAATGCACCAGGATAGAATGGTTACTGCAATGTTGTTGTAAGATGGTGACCTTTTGTTGAGATATGTAACAGTCATTTCTCACTGAAATCGATTTTTGACAGAAAAGGCTCCTGCATTTCACTTTGAGGCATTATAGAGATATTGTGTCTGCTGATTCATCATACAAGCTGTCCACCTCGGTCCCGATGCATCTGAAAGATCATGACTGTCAGCAGGGTGGAATGAGGGAAACCATGATCAACAAATGATCAGGGATATTTCACACAGTTTGGACTCTTGGCACCTGGTTGGTAAAAAGTACACTGGAGAGGAGGCATTTTCTGCATGAAAACCTTCACCTCAGGAGCCTCTGCAACCAATTGCAGTGCTGGAGAGTTCTTGAGTGCAGCAGTGTTTTGTTAGAACCAGAACTCTCAAAAGATGCCCTCCCCTCCAACATACAAATGATCTTGTGTATATGTGGAGTTTTGCTGAAACAAGACAGAATTGTACTGTCTTAAACTGTTGTTGTATTTGTCTGACACCTTTGCGAGTTCCTTACCCTCCATATATGTTGAGTCAATTCATTTGTAACTGAGATATCTCTATGTGGAGAACAC